AATTACTCACTATCTACACACACATTACCACTCCCTTCTTTTATATACCAGCGTAACCTATTTCTAGTAAGAACTTGAACCTTCGACAAAGTACATGATAGTTCTAGAAACGTTGCGTCACGGCGGTCATGTGACTGCTGACGCAACAATATAGTTAGTGAATTATATATAATTATTGCTGTTTGTCACTCGATATTGTTATTAGTATAAAAAAAGCGATTTTGGAATATTGTGGTTTTTTTAGTTAGTTTTTCTTGTTCTTCTTCTTTTTCCTGAGTCCATAATTTGAAATAATTACTACTGATATTTATGTTTTATTGTACATAACATAAGTATCAAGTCCTGGTCAGGCCGTATTTGTTAACTGTATTTTGGTAACTGCTAAATTTTATTCCAGATTGTTACAGTTTAATAAATTGTTTGTTTGTTTGTTTTTACTCTTGAACCCTGGTTGTAGAAGTGTGTTATTTTTGACCGTTACATACTCATCTTCAGAAATTTGTTAAGTCAAAGAAAGCTCCCCAAGAATGGTAATCAGTAATTTCAACAACTGGCTTAGCAGCTTCGAATAGTAACATAGGGTAAGGTACTAAACAGTATCTGATTCACAAATATAATAAGCTAGATATATCAAATATATTTCAATAAGGTGTGAACAAATTTGTGTCTTAAAATAGATTATAAACGTTTTCAACACAACTCTGGTGGCCATTATCAGGTGATAAAGAGCAAGTTCACTTGCTCTTTATCACCTCACGATGACCTCTAAAGTTGAGGTCAAAAACGTTAAATTGTAGATTAGAAAGTTTAACGTTAATACAAAGTTTTACTGATCAAAATGGAATACATTTTATATACATTTATCTTCGATAGTGTGTAAAAAATTACCATCATATCATGCTACAATCTGAAAGTTCCACTTGATTTCATTCCTATTTACAGATCTGTGTCAGCCGAAACAGTAGATTAAAAACATGTGCAGAACTTGTTTTCTGTGCAAATGCTTTAAATTGTGAACCTTCCATCAGTGCCACAGAAAGACTTCAAAAGTAGAAAACGTATTTTGGTCATTATAGACAAGCGACATGGTATCACCTCTGAAGGCTGTGTAGTACCTTCAGATTGTTCATTCTGTAATTATGGACAAAAACAAAATAATTAAAAATTTGAGACAGAAAAGTTGACGTCTAGAGAGAAAAGTTGGTAATTTGGAGACAGTAGTTTCTTGTATTCTAGAAAAGAACATTATCTCTGAGGCATCGACTGTTTAATTTAACCTTCCAAGTATCAATATTTTTCTTGTTAGAAACCACAAAAGTAACCCATTGTCTACATGATTATATGGTTTTAATCCATAATTCAATTTAATTCAAGTCATAATTATAATAATGAAAACACTTCCAAATATAATGCTCAACCATTGGCTTATAAACGTATTCAATGACACATCTGTGACATAATATGTTAAAGGCATAGTTTTTAATGGTTATAAATTTGATCATTTTAGTCAGCTCTCAAAATAGGGTGATGTATGAGTACTTCCCACGAGACACTTTTAAAAAAAGCGAAATTAGTTATTTGCAGAACAATAACATATTTGTATTTATGCCTTAACTCATAAACTCATAGTAATTTTATTGCATTGAATGCAGCCTTGGTGATTATGATTATATAATACATAAACTTGTAATGGTAAAATGAAAGGCTTTTCAACCATTTAGATATTTTGTAAAGTTTCGCTAAGGGCTTGTATAATTTGTGTTTAGATTTTATTCATGAGTCTCGAGTAATAGCCATTAACTTAACTTTTGATGGCGCTGCTTCAACCATTTTTGCATCTGCTATTCTTGGAGCACCCTTACATGCTGACATTGTTAAAACCTGGCTTGAACATTCTGTGACTCAGCAGCCTGCACATGTTCTACTCGATTCCAACCATATGTTAAAGTTGATTCAGAATGTACTTGGAAGATGTGGAACCATAAACAACAATGAGGGACAATATATTAGTTCGGACTTTATGAAGTTACTGTCTCAAATTCAATGTGATGAAAGACTCCAGACTGCTAATAAATGAAAACAAAGCTAAATTAAGTGGGAAAGAGATAAAATGAGAGTTAAACTAGCAGCCCAAACATTGCAAGCCTTGCAATATCTTTACAATTGTTAAAACAGTCATCTGAACATTGGGAGTAGTTTGGAGGCTCCCAGATTATAAAATGTTTGACATTTTAAAAAAGTGAAAAAAGCTAGTATCAGAACATAAAGGATGTATTGACTCTAGTAACAAGCAAGTTGTGTTTCATAAGATTTTGGAAACCAAGAATTACTTAGCTTCTCTTTAAAAATCTACAGGAGGCAAAGCGATGATTCAAGGCAAGAGAAAAGTTAAGATTCCTTAGACTTTTTCTGGGGCTGAAGACAATTCACCACATATATGAGAGACTCTGTAATGGTGTGTCACCTCTTCTTAAATACCTCCTGGCATAAAACTGTTCTTTAGTGCTTTAGTTCCTTAGCTGCTGTAAAAAGTGATTACAAATGTCTGCTTCTAAGAATGAAATGAGAGGTCCAGCCACTGATAACTGTGTGAAGAAAACTACGATCACTACTCTCTTTGTATCTAGTAGCACCCAAGTGACACCAAAAATTATAATGCTAAAAAAAGAAAGAACTGTTGATGACACCCATACTGACCACGAATACTGCAAACCGCCACATTTTGAGAATGTTTATATATATATGAAAGATGTTGCATACATAGCAGACTTTTTGGTTCGCCATGTCCCATAAGCTATCCATTACCAGGTGTATTGCAAAGCATTAGAAGATACAAGGTGCCACTCAAAATTAAAAGTTATAAAATCATACTCTGAGTCATTAATTGATGGACTTATCAAGGCTGTGCCAAATGTTATTTGTCTATATAAGTTACAAGAATCAGAAATAGGCTGCATTGAGAATACTGAGAAGCTGTTTATTCAAAAAAATGTTGCAGATTCAATTGTGTGCTTGGTACTGGAAAAAAAGCACCTCGAAATTTATTCAGTGAACATCATAAACCTAAAAATATACCAAAGGGAACCATATTGCTGCACTGATGAAACTCATTGTAGACATATATGTAAACACAAGGCTTCGTCATTCAGCTGAAAGTGCTAATGAAGCCAAGTTTTGTTCTTTTTCTGTGTGCAGTATATTGACTAAAACTGTGTCGTTTATGCGTCAGTAAGTCTTAGCATGCCTTGCTTATACTTTAGTTTAGCTTGAAATGGCCCCAGTGGCACAGTGGTATGTCTACGGACTTACAACTCTAGAAACCGGATATCGATACCCGTGGTGGGCAGAGCACAGATAAGCCATTGTGTAGCTTTGCGCTTAATTACAAACAAACAAACAGTTTTTTGTTCGTTTGTTTGAATATCTCGCAAAGCTTCACGAGGGCTATCTGCGCTAGCCGTCCCTAGTTTAGCAGCGAAAGACTAGAGGGATGGCAGGTAGTCATCACCACCTACCGCCAACTCTTGGGCTACTCTTTCTACCAACGAATAGTGGGATTGACTGTCATATTATTACGCCCCCATGGCTGAAAGGGCGGGCACGTTTGGTGGGACGAGGATTCGAACCTGCGACCCGAAGAATGCGAGTCGAGCGCACTAACGACCTGGCCATGCCAGGCCAAGTAATAGTGCAATCATCACCTAGTATTCCCAGATGATCACCCTTCCAAGTACTAACCAGGCCAGACATTAGTTATCTACGGAGATCAGAAGAGATCCGGAATTTTTCAATGTGGTATGAACGATGGCTCAAACAAACAGTTTGGAATGTTTATTTTTAGCCTAGATTTATGCCTTTGATGTTTTATATAAAATAAATGATTATATAATCGCCCATAATGACAGTTTTCCCTACTTACTTGTACCACTGATGACGAGTATCTAGGTGTAACTTGGAGGGGGAATCAACGTACTGCCACAACGTGACGTTACAGCCCAAGCTCTGATGTTTATTTCACAAACTCTACATCTTGTCGCGTCTACAGTTTTAATAGCCGATGTTTGTTTTTTCAAGCTGAAAAGAATATAAATTAATTTTTTATAACTTTTGAGTATGCATCACAGAAAACAGAACAAATATCACTCACAAATAGGACATTACAAATCTACTATAATTTATCTAGCTTTCTAACTAAGATATAAATAGCCTAAAACTGTATTTCTGTTTGGATTAATGATTTTAGCAAACACGCTTCAACATTTCAATGCGAATTTCGGCTTTTCTATCTAGAAAATTTACAAATAACCATCAGATTTACGTGTTTCAGAATATGCTCTTTGTATTGGTTATAAACCTGTACTAAATAAAAGTAGGCGTGAAGAACTAATTGGCTTCAAAAGAATAAAGGGACTAAAGGGGGTTTCTCTGGTAAGTTTGCTAAATATATTGATATTTCACCAAATCTAAAAGGTGTAAGGTTCATATTTTCTATTCGAGCTTGTCTGTGTGTGAAATTTGATTTTGTAGTTGGTTAAGCACTATTGATGTTGTATGGTAGAAGTAATATAATGTAAATTGAACAACTTATAGCACAAAAGTATCACGTGAAATACATTTTTTTAAAACATTTTCCCTAAAATTAAGAAAATAAATCGTTTACAGTATTTAAATTTGATTTACTAACTACGTTTGCTGTCAATTTTATTAGTAAACTTTAACAATAAAGTGGTTTAATTAAATCTTGAATGCAACTCGTGACATTCACATTTTGCCCCCAATCGTGAACATAGGGTTAATTGAGGTGCATGAGCTTGCTCAGCAACAGCCAGAAATGGTGGCTAAACATCAGAAGAAATACTATAGCAATACAGTAAAGGGACGAATGTACCTGGATGGACGTGGTCTGGCTTTAGTACAAGCTCTGGAAGATTGATCAATGGATGTTCGAGTTACAGAAGAAATTACATGAAGCACATCAATAAGATGTGTTCATATATCACAGATGAATCTCCGAACATTGGCTCAACTGGAAGCCAGAGAACGATATATCAAAGAATGTTAAGGATAGCATATCATGTTCAATCTATTTAACTAATGAAGATGAAATAGCTGAAGGTACTTATCTGGCTGTCCATAATGAGCCAGATGAGGAAACACTGGAGTTAAAGGCGAAAACGGCTTCAACAGTTTGTTGAGGTGCTGTCAATAACCTCTTACTGGTAAAGCTACGATGGATTTACTTCATTAGTTAGGACTGTATTTGATTGCAAGATTAACAGACCAAAATGTTTAGCAACCCTTACTTTCTGAGTTATCATCTAAGTTTTACATCTACCGGATATCAGATGATAGTTACTGAAGCAGCCATATCGTTGAAAAATCAATGTCTAAAAGGGTGTTGGAATCCTTACTTTCCAATTTTTTGATGTGAAATGTTTAACATTTTAAGTAAGCCACTCATCTGATTTTACCCAGTGGTGAAAACTCTATGGAGCATATTGCGTGATCCACAATAGATTCTCCCCATACACCTGGGTAATTTATGATGTTTCTACATGTAGTGAGGTGGTTGTGTTCCTCATGAATGTATATTGAGATATTGTAATAACATCATGAATATTAATCCTGGCTGACGAGAAATTTATCTGAAAAGTCTTATTTCAGCTGAATTATTCCAGTGATTATTTATTTTGTGATGCTTGAAAGGGGAAACCTATTAAGTTTGATAGCTCATAAATAGCAACTCATAACATACCACAGTTTTTTGAGATGTAACTTGTGTGAGGTAACCTGAAAAAGACTACTAATGTAATTTGCATATGAACCAAAGAGAGTTTATTTTAAACTACTAGTGTATGTATGTGACAATGTGTAATGGTGATTTATGTACATAACAATATATGCATATAAATAAATTTATATTATGTGTGGTCTTATACACACCAATATGAACATTAAATTATCTCATTTATAATTGTTGTATAACATGAATGTATGAATTGCACAAAAAACACGATGATTAAGCAACATGTAAGTGGGACAAATGATTTGATATGGATGTTAAGAGTTTGTGATATGATATTAACTGTGAATACTGGAAGGTATTATTTAAAGATAAAGTGTCCCTGTTATTTTCTTTAAGTGAAACAATGCTTCAATTTTGAGACAGAAATAATTTACAGGTAATGAATTTTCATGGAAAGATAAAAGTAATGAAGAAACACTATATCTCATAGAAAGCACAGTTTCGCTTCAATAAGAGCAAGGCAAGATATTTCAAATTGACTATTTGCAAATGGTTGAAATTATTAGTATTAAATGAAATTTATAGACAGTAGCTATCATGACAATGCAAACTTGGTGTACTCATCATTTCATTTGGTTGTGATAAGATATTTTCTATCACGCAGATTGAGACATCTTACAATCACACAGTTTTCCAAATATTTCCTTCACATTGTTTCAGTAAAAGATGCAGTTATAACATCCGAAAACTGCAAGATGTGAATGTATTACGGTTGCCTATGTGTGCAATGTAACAAACACATTGTAAAACTTTGAAAGTCACACACAAGCTAGTACCAAATTTATAACTGGAAAAAGGTCCCTAAGGAGAGACAATGTGAACATTAATGGATTCTAATGGTCAAAAGTAAGGGTTAATTTTGTCTAACCCAAGTTAGCACGTGAGTAGGAATCAGTTTTTAATTCCATTCTTCCCACTGCATCTGGGCTCTATCCATGTGATAATCAGATGGCAGTGAAAGGAATTTGACTTCGTTGGATGGTAAACTGTGTCGGTTATTGTCTGGCCATGATGACAGAGGGCATCATGGCTAAATATATTGGTTAAACAAAGCAATGAAGCCTGAGAAACCAATAAGTTCATGGGTGTTAGAAATACATCTTCTAAGTGTAATATAGGGTGTGAGTAATCACGAATCCTGTATACATATATATATATATATATATCACTTGATTAAGTTATAGTTTTATGATCACATCTCTAAAAATATTTTAAATTGGAACGTTATTGTAACCGAATAGTTACGACTCTTTTCAAAATACATACCTGGCTGAATTTTTAACCAATTGGAATTCAACTGACTTTATGTTTTTAATTAAGATTTTTCCGTATTTAAGATCGAATTCTTTACTATTCTGGCTATCTCTTCTTTTTTGGCTAACCAATCAATGGTCAGGTATCCTGCCTTGTTGTCTAGTTGAATAGCTAAAACAAATACACCCAAGACTCCCTTTACAGTGATGAGTTAAACTATGAGGTTAATCCGTGGATTCCTGGTGCTGGCTTGATATTAGCCATAACAACGCTCATGGATGAAGGTGCATTGTTAGTCACTGCATTGGACATGGAAGAGCTTATTACATCTGTTGGTCCCCAGCAAGCATAATGATCATGGAGTTGAAAATGGTTACCACAGCTATATGAATTAAAAGAAGCTGAGTCTCCAGCAGCAGATGCCACCAGAGAAAAAGGAAGCAGCCTTACATTCGAAGAAACAACAAAACCTACTCCTCAAGTGTCTCTTTGGATGGTGCAATGTTTCCAATAACAGGTTGTGGCAGCTGATGTGCTAACAACTCTGTCAGGAACAATATATCCCTAAACTCAAGAAAACCTTTCCAAAGGTTGGATTTTATAGAAAGTTGACCAGGTTCTGGGAGAGATAGAGCAGAACATGTCCTTGGATGATGGCTGTCATCTGTGTATTTCTGACATCCAGGTCCAATGTCACTTTCTTGGTGGTGCAGATGAGCCAACTGGGTCTTCCTACATTACCACCACCACCACCAAAAATAAGGTTATCCATCAATGCAGGATGTTGATGTCAACTACCAGACCAGTCACCATGTAGTCAATGGAGATGATGTGAGTGGTCCCTACCTCGACAACACTCGAGGCAATATCAATGAAGTGGCCCTGAGAACAGCCTCAAATACTGCCAAGAGCAGAGCTTCCAATTAACTCGCCTAAGTTTATTACAAACAGGCCCACATTAGAACAGATCCTCATATATAAGTGGCATTGCCAAGAGATGACCCTTGGTTGTCCACAAAGGACCTTATGAATCCATCATTGTTCTTCTTTAGATGTAAAATAAGTGATGTACAAGGGCTAGTATTTGGTTCTATCAATCTATGTTCCTTCTATGTCTCTGAAAGTCGCAACCTATTTTGCAAGTAGAAGTCATCTGGCTAACTGATATATTAGAGCTGCAACTCCAACATTAAATCTGTAGGATATTATTATTTTCTGTCTAAATCTTCAAGTCTATTGGAAAAGGTATATTGATATTCTTTAAGTCAGGTAATCTTTAACACTGAATAGCTATAAGACCTCTACAGGTCTTGAGGTAATAAGCTGTCTTTATGTGAAGACATGATATCAAACTTCCGACATCTTGCCTTACAGGTGACTACTTTAGATGTTACTTGATATGAAAGTACTACCTGCATAGCATCGAAACTTGCAATATCCATCCATGCATGAAACATCATGGATGACATACCTCTTCATCCAAGAATGACTTAAATCAGCCAGTGATATAATGAAATATCATTATGTTTTTTAATACTAATAAGATTGAATTCTATTACGGAAACAAAGTGTTTCTGTGCAATCTCTGCTGTAATAAAGTTTGAACTCCTAAGTTAAGATGGTGCTGGAAGGGCCCATATACTGTACTGAAACGAATCAATTATATGGTTTATATCATCCAGAAGGATAGGCAATCCAAGCCAAACGTCATCCATCAATATCCTCTTTGGAAGTACATCACTGGAAGAACAAATAAATGGGTAGCTTCAGAGAGGAACATCAGTGGAACCTCAATCTGCAGAGGAGCCTGAGTTCTTGTTTAGACTGCTTTTAGAAAATCGTCAATGTTGGAGTCGTCAGTGGATTCACACGACTATCTACCTAGTAAGAACTTCGCCAGCGATAGGACAGCCAGCAACAAGGGACAAGACACCATCACATCTGTATACTATGGGTCTCGGAAGATACAACAATCAAATAGATTTGCTGAATGGACAACTTAGTGTAGTTATATTATTTTTTGCATTAGAGTTATTCAAGGGGTTTCACAATCTAGGAAGATTGCAGTGTTGTGAGCTATATTTTAGTGTATGATTTGTTAGTTAGGTAAGTGTTTGAGAATGCCTAGAAACTTCTAAGTGCTATAAGGTGTTCTAACACATTCAAAGTTAGATTATAAATACGAAAAGATTGTGGGGTGTTGTTTTTTCAAGATAGAGACCTGAATCAGTGTTTATGAAAAGCATTTGGTTAAGAGTTTGCTATTGTGCTTAACGAATTGGTTTGTTTTATGTTAGTTAACTAACATCATTTGTAATGGAGTCCTACAACAACTTACGACAGTGTACAAGTGATCAAGCTTGTAGAAACGTAAAAGGAAGAAATAAACCAACTTGTTATAGTTCACAAGGACAAGCCCATGAATTATTTTCCCCAGATGATTTAAAAGAACTCGTTTGTTTGTTTTGAATTTCGTGCAAGGTTACACGAGAGCTATCTGTGCTATTAGTCCATAATTTAGCAGTGCAAGAATAGAGGGAAAGCAGCTAGTCATCACCACTCACCGCCAACTCTTTCACCAATGAATATTGGGATTGACCGAAACTATATATACGCCCCCCATGGCTGAAAGGGCGAGCATGTTTGGTGGAACGGAGATTCGAAGCCACGACCTGCATATAGCGAGTGGAGCACCATAATCACCTGGCCATGCCAGGCCTAAAAGAACTCGCCAGCAAAGGAACAATGTTACAACAACATCTACAAGCACGACTAATGAGAAAAGTTTTAGTATATTTACTAAGGTTTGTAATGTATGAAAATTCAAGTTCGATTAAATATAAATCCACAACTTGTGGGCTGAAGTTACCTCCTGCAAATATCCTTTCAATTCTTTGGAAGATATTCATGGCCAAACTGTACAAATGTATTGTCAAGTAAGAAATGCAGAGCGTACACAAATTAGTTTACTGTGAAACACTAGTATTTTTTTTAGAGTATAGTTTTCTAAATGTGTAAAAGGTAGCACTCAGGTGAGCT